CGGGCAGAGGGCGATGGTGGTGCCAGCTCTGCCCGTCCCCACCTGGGTAGGGGATCCGGAGCCAAGGGGAGCGGACGGTGCTGTTGGCCCAGGGCAGCTGCTCCGTGGCCAGCTCCAGCGAGTCCCAGGGGACGCGGAGGTGGCTGAGGACAGCGCAGATGATGCAGACACTGGTGAATGGGAGCAGTACCTGCAAGGCAGTGCGGGGATCCTGAGCAGGGCACCCTCCTCCTCTGCTCACCCCACCGAGCACCCTGCTTGTTGTAGCCCCAACAGCTGGCCCTTGTCCTGTTCACCTGCTCTGCATGGCCCTGCAGGGAGCATCTCAGGCTCTGCTGCTCACAGGCACCGCTGTGCTCCCCCAGTAGCACCCACAGCCTCTCCCAGTTCATACCAACCCCTCCTCACCCACTTTCTCTGCATCCAGCACCCAGCTCTGCTGCAGGGCCACCAGGTCCCAGCTAACCCACCACCGAAGAGCCAGGCTCAGCAAGGGACCTGGGTGCAGCCGGAGGGAGCAGGGACAGGCAAGCCGTGGTACCGAGAACGTGCGCAGGGTGGGGACGGACGTCTCCGCAGAGCCCCCCTGGGCGAAGGGCCAGACACAGCAGGGCAGACGGCAGGACCCCAGGTGCTGGGAGAAGGTGACGGTGAGGAGCACCAGCCTAGGAGACAGGGAGCACAGGTCACCACGCGGCAACACGGAGGCAGGGGGCCCCAAACATGTGCCGCGCACCGCTGGGATGCCCCGTTCCTGCCGCTGCGGTGAAGGGAAGTGCCTGAGGCTGCACACTGGTGTGGTCCCCGGGGCTCACATACAGCAGCGCTACCCCCCAGTTAGCGGAGCAGAAGAAAGCCGCCTCCTTGTACGCGGACAGCCCCACGATGGAGAGGCTGGGGGCCAGGACCATGGGCCCGCAGCGGCGGGCTGTCCACCCGCATGCACCAGACACTCCTAGCACCAGCTGGACCAGCCCGGAGAACACGATGGCTCCCGAGACCTGCGGGAGGAAGGGACGGGACACAGGGAGCAAGACATGGTGAGAGCAGCCCAACGCCTCCCCTTGGCCACCTCCCGCACACCCCTGTGGGGTCACCCATCCCTTGTGCTCCAGCCCTGCTCCGCTCTCTCCGCAAGCGAGGGAAGGTATGAGCATGTGCACCACGACCCCCGTCACCCTGAGATACCCTGTTTGCACGTGCCCCGGGAGGGTGGAGCAGGGAGAGGGGCCAGGGCATAGGTAGCAGCTGGGGGTGCTGGTGGAGCAGAAGGACAGGGGTTCCTCGCACTGGAGCGCAGGAGCACCAACCTCTCGCAGCGATGAGGTCCGGCTCCCCACGACATCGCAGCGCAGTGCAGGGCATGCGCTGGCCACTGCCGTACCTGCAAGGGAAGTTCAGAGGGGCATGAGACAGGCAGATGCGGGGCTGCCAGAGCCCGCCTGGCACGATGCCTACAGAACACCAGGTTCAGGACCACGCAGGGCTGGGGATCCAGGCTGGAGAAGGGCCAGTGTGCCAGGGACAGCATCCCAGCATCACACAGGGGAGCTGCGTCTGCTCTGGGACTGTCCCTGGGAGCAGCAGCTGGGAATACCCCAACAGCAGGCTCAGGGAGGCAGTGCCAGACCTGACCTGGGGCAGGTAACAAGCTGCTTCAGGAAATTTTTATCCTCAGGGTCATGGGTGCTTGGACATCCTCCTGGGGCCACAGCACCTGCATCCTTCACATGGCAAGGTCTCTGGCAGGGCCACTGCCAGGTGGTGCAAAGACAGGTACAGAGCTCAGGGTGCTAGCAGGGGCCTGGTCCAGTCCCTGTAAGTCCTAACCCCAAGAGGTGGCCACGGGGGTGATATAGGCCACCAGTCCTGCAGTCACGACCCTGGGTGTGTTGTGGTGTGCTCAGGGGGCAGTAAGGTGCCCAGAGTGCTGCATACCCCATCACCAGAGGGGCCAGTAGGCAGGACCCATTGCCACCCCCCATCCCGGATGCTCCAGGCTCACAGCACCTTGGCACTGCTGATGCCATTACACTGGCATGGCTTGGAGCCCTGCAGGGCACTAGGGAAGGCTCCAGAGCTGTGCTCACCGTTCCTGTCTGTGCTGTCACTGAGGGACAGGTGGGAGCTCAGCACCATGGCAGGGACCAGGTATTCGAACGATGGGATTTGAACCAGCGGCAGCCTGGGGACAGGGGGACAGCAAGGGCACATTAGGGAGGAAAGGGGATGGGGCTGCTCTGGGACCCCCCAGAGCCCTGGCTGCTGGAGGAGTCAGGGATGGGAAGGGGCAATAGTGGAGGAGGCAGGAACCTCAAAGTGGCAGTAGGAGCATCCGATATCCTGAGTGTGTCCTACACATCCCAACATGGGACGTGCACATGTGCAGCACATGGGATGTGCCCAGAGGCCAGGGGCTTTGCCAGGCACATGCCCAGCTTGTACCTCGGCGCTGCATATGGGTAGCATCTGGTAGGCACCGGATGAATTTGAGAAGGCACATACGATGCTGGAGCAAAGGGCTGAGGAGCTAAGGGGAGAAAGCAGCAGTTTTGCTGGAGGGAGATGTAAGAGGAAGATGCAGTGATGGTGTGGGAGGGACAGCCCACGCAGGGGCGCTGGGCAGGGGATTGTCATAGGAAAACAACATCTCCAGGGGGACCTCATGGCCTGACTCCTCGCTCCCAGTCCTTATGCCCCTTCCCAGCTCCTGCAAGGCCTATCCACTCCCATCCTAAGAGAAGGGCAGAGACCGGCTGGCCCAGCTGGTGATGGCTGCATCCCCTTCATTCCCCCTTGCTCACCGGCTCCCCAAGCAGGTCTGCAGGACAGTGGAGATGCCACAGGCAAAGAGGCTGCGTGCCAGCAGCTCGTCTGTGGCCTGGGCCTGGGCTTGCTCCTCGGGCAGGGTTGGGAGCAGGAGCAGGTGGAAGATGCAGAGCAGGGAGGCCTGTACGGCGAGGTGCTACATGGGAAGGAGAGGGGGTGGCAGTGGCGCACCACAGGACCCAGAGCCCCCAGCACCCCTAGGAGGATGCAAACTCACAGACACCTCCCAGGCAGAGCCTGCCACTGCCCAGCCATGCCACCCTCTCCCCTCTCAGCCCACCCTGGCCAGAGCCCCAAACACCCTTTGCATGGCAGGATGCAGCCTTTGTCTTGCCACCTGCAAGGATCTCAGCCCTCTCCCCATCACCCCAGCTGCTTATCATGGTCCACGCTTACCTGAAGGGCCAAGCAGCAGCTCAGCACACAGGAGTGCATTTTCTGCAGGGAGCAGGATGCGAGCGCAGGGCTTCCAGCACCAGGCGCTCTGCGACAGCCCCCATTCATACTGCTGCCTCCCCACACTCCCCCCTGGTTTGCGATGAGGAGCAGGCAGGCAGGCTCCCACCCCCCACAAGGGCCTAGCACAGCCTGAACTTCCACCTTCTGTAGGAGCTGCCCCAGGGTTAGCCATTAACCTGAGTTGGTGAGTAACCTGCCCTTGCTGCTAGGAATGCAAGTGCCACCCTGATCATGCCTGGACCAGGTGACAGCCAGCCACAGCTAGGACCCCAGACACCAGTGCAGTGCCGATAGCCCGAAGCCCAGACCATACCGGGGCCCCTACACACCTTCCTGCCTCTTGTGGTATCCAGGCCCAGGAACTGGACCACAGCTCTTCCTTCACACCCTTGGAGCTTTCTCATCCACAGCATGCCACGGCTCCAGCATCCCCTGCCCACACACATCCCCCCCAGGCAGAGCATCCCCTCTGCTCCCCTGGCTCCAGCCATTCCTTGCAATCAGTCCCCGAGAATCCTATTACAAGCTGTGTTGCCCCCCCAGCTCCTGCAATCACCCTCTGCAGACACAGTTCCCATCCCAAATCAGTCACTGTTATGAGCACAGAGTCCCTCATGCACTGCACAGTGGTCCTGGGAGCCCGGTCTCCTCCTAGGAGCACAGCACCAAGTCCTGCCCACGAACAACACGTGGGCAGAGGATGCCAAGGGACAAGAGCTGCCCACTTGAGTGGAAATGCTCCTATGGGAACACAGGCAGGGCATGCCCATGTTTTGTCACGGCAGCGCTGGCAGTGCCGGCAACTGCAATGGCGACCTTGCAAAGCCCTTGCTGCTCATTAACCGGACAGCCAGCAGGGAGCAAAGAGCAGTAGAGGCTACGCATTCCCCACATTCCCAAGGATGGGAATGCCCTCCTCAGTCCCTCTGCCCCTGCCTTCCCCAGGCCCAGCCCCAAGGTCCCTTTTGTCACCTGCCACCAGAGTCCAGTCTCTTTCGAGCTCTGTAGGACAGCATGCCCAGGAGTTGGGGCCCAGGACAGCCACTCACAGGCACAGGGTGCTCCTGGAGTGCCCGGGCTCCCGTCCCACTGGGGTTCTGCACCAGGAAGGCAGGTGCTGCCTGCAGGGAGAGGCTCAGGAGGAAGGACAAGGCAGGTGCACAGCAAGAACTACTTTTATTGGAAGAGATTTGCATCTACAAAAGAGTGAAAAACAGGTGTAAAATCCAGAGTAAAAAGTAGGGGTGCAATGAGCTGGACTGGGCAGCAGGACAAGCTGCCTTCTCCCTGCCCCAAGGAGCAGTCAGGCGCCATTGCCCACTGCCCCAGGCCGTTGGGATTTGGGATGGGGTCACAGAGTACCCCGCTTTCAAAGAGCCCAACAGAGGCAGTACAAGGAAGCACAGCCCCAACCACACCTCACCACCCCTAAGCCTCACAGGACACATCCTTTCCTTGGGGCACAGCCACATCAGGGTCCCCTCTTAGTGTGAGTCCTGCATCTCCTGAGAAGCAGCCTGGCAGCCCCCAAAGGGGAACTGCTGCTGGGACAGGCCAGCAAGGGCTGCTTCCACCTTCCTTCCTCCTCTCCCCTCACCTAGGCACCCCATCCCCAGACCACCCTGTCTCCCCCTGGCCAGGGTCACCAGCCCAGTCCCTCCACTCTACACACACAGTCCCAGCATCCTACATCCCACACACCACCTGTGCCCGGCTCCACTGAGGGCCACGCACCCCCCGTGCAAAGCAGTACCCCCCCCTTACCCTAGCATCCTAGCCCAAGGGCACCCTGTTCCTACCCTCCAGCTAGTAGGCCCTTGTCGCAGCACCCAGACATCTGGACCCAGCAGCCCCGATGCTCTGCAGCACCCAAAGTGAAGGAAACCCTTGCCCTGGAGCAGGGGTAGGGACAATGACAACACACAAATGCTGGTTTGGAAGTAACACAGGGGCCCCCGGCCCTGTGCAGCCCCAGGGATCAAGGCTCCCAGAAGTGCAAGGAAGTGAGTTGTGCCACACTGGAAGGGGAGGGGAAGGGGCTGCCCCGTGCTCCTAGCTGGGAAAAATGAAGCTCTTGATTCTGCTGAGATCCAGGGCCATGTGCAGGGAGCACTGCCTCAGCCCCAGGGAGTCTTGCCTGTCCTTGTGGCTGGAGACTGCATCCCAGGTAGGGCCTGCACTGGCAGAGCAGGCACGGCAGTGGAACACTGGAGGAGCTGGGAGCACGGCGAGTCCAAAGGGGCCAGGCTGGCTAGGGGTCACGACAGGGGCTGTACGGTTGGATCTCTCACAGGTGCTGGGTACTCTCTGGAGGGGACCTTGCAGGGGACTCCTGTGTGGGGTAGGACTGGGCACCTCGGCATAGGACAGAGCCGTCATCACGCTGCCCCACAGGTAGAGCGCGGTGGCTGTGACACCCCCACGATGCTGTTCATCGGCCGTCTCGTTCTTCCCCATGCACCGGGTGCTGCTGGCCGGGGAGACAGCAGGCAGCTCAGGCTGGGTCTGACCAGGGGCTGGGGGCAGCGGGGCATCCAGCTGGCAGCTGCCCTCCTCAGGGAAGAGGGTAGGCTGGAGGGCTGCAGGGCTGAGGCTCCTCGCGCACACGGCCCGGTGCACCACAGTGACGGAGGCGAAGACGGCCGCAAAGCCGGTCAGGTACACCACACCCAGGAGGCAGGCCAGCTGCAGAGATGCAGACAGTTAGCCCAGACCCACCAGCAGTCCCCCAGGGCCAGCTGCAACCCAGCTCCACTCAACACAGCTGCACATCAGCTGTGATGACAAACAGCACTGTCAGCACTGGGCTGGAGGCCAGGGAGCAGGCAGTGCTGCAAACAGCAGGTGGCACACAGCCCGTCCAAAGCAGGGGCTAAATACCACTAATCAAGATGCCCCAGCTAAATCCTAACAGCTCCTGGCCAGCACCCAGCTGCAGTGCCTAGGGCAGCACAGCTGCACAGACAAATCGGCATCTTTCTGGTTTCTGATGGCTTCACTTTTCAACAGGGAATAAACAGGAAGTTTCCCATGGAAAAGAGGGTCCTACCCCCAAATCCATGGCCCGTTTACATCCGGGATGCTTCCCTGTGCTCTTGTAAGCAGCTGCCCCCAGCCTTTACCTTCACCACCTGCTGGTAGAACTGGCCCAGCGCTTGCTGCCACATGGACTGCTCCAGGAGGACACACAGATCCGTGTAGGTGAACCAGCCACGCCATGTGCCCTGCTTCTCCGCCACACTGCAAAGAAAGGGGCCTGGTGGCTGCGGCATGGACCTTCCCCCACCCCAGGAGCTGCAGCCCAGGCAGGCCCCGATATGCTCAGAGCAAGACTCTGCTCAAAGTGTTGTGGCTGTGGAAGCGGGCTGCAGATCCCAGCAAAGGCTCACAGGTAGCCTCAGCTCTTGCTTCTCTGCAGCAAGGCCGGCTCTGAGCAGGGACAGTGCCATCCATCTGGGGCTCGAGGACTGACGAACGGGACCCCTCAAACACGTACCGTCCTTCCAGCCAGCTCAGCACTTCAAACAGCTCCCGGGGGTCTGTATAGAGACTCCAGTCCTGCAGGGACAACAGTGACACATCAGCAGTGGGATGTGGCTGGGCTGGGCTGCCCAGAACCCTCAAGGATGAGAAACAGTTGGGCACATCCTTCTGCACCCCTCACAGGGGTAGGGGAAAAAGGGAAACCTGGGCTCCCCTTAACCCCTCGTTTTCCTCTGTGAAGCTAAGCAGATATAGCGGCAGCCCCACTTACAATGGCACTCAGGAAGTTCATCTCCAGCGTGTTCATTGTCTGGACATCTACCTTCCCTGCTGCTCCCCATTCATCGTTGAACACCTCCTCTTCCTCACCCTCATCATACAGGTACTTACTGGCAACCATCTAAAAGCAGCACAAAGGACAGGATTTCAGTTCCCGTCATTTTTCTTCAGGCCTCCCTCCCACCCAGGATCCTCCCAGTCCACCCTACTCACCATAGAGATCAGGAAGAGGTCTGAAGATGAAATCTGCTGGAGGTATTCGGGGTTTCGATGCCGGAGTCTCTCAATATAAACCAGTGCCAGCATCATGGAGCAAGGCGAGATGCAGGCTTCCCTGCGATGACAACACAAGAGACAATCTGAAGGTTACCTATGTGCTACAAAGAGCCCAACCACCACAGCACAACCTGGTTGCTCCCTCCCCATGTAGGTAGTGGGGAGGTACAGTGAATAGACAGCTATGCACACATGGCCAGGACGTGCCCCAGCCTCACTAACTCATTACCAGCTGTCCTGAGGAACTGCAGCAAGAGAAAAGGCAGGGGATGGAGAGCAGACAGCTCTTCTTTCCGGGCACAGCCAGTTTTTAACTGAGCAGGCCTGTCTGCAGCCAGGCACACTGCGAGGGCTCAGCTGCTCAGAGGAGACCCAGCATTCAGACCTGGCTGCATGGTGAGCGCTGCCCAGTCACAGATCCAAGCCCATACAAATTCCCCACAAGAGCATCCCCGTGTCCCAGAGAGGGGAGCAAGTCCAAGCTGAAGTGGACTTGGCTGGTCAGGAAGACACTGTGCTGCCAGCCTTGCCACCTACCCCCAACTCCTCTCTGACACTAACCAGGCCTAAGCACAAAGCCAGTGTTGACTTGGGGGATAGAACCAAGTCAGAGGCTGCCAGCTCTGACACTGGGCATGGGGTGGGGCGCAGATTGGGCTTCTTACCGAGAAACATGAGACACATATTTCTTCTGAAGCCTGCGGTTGGGGCTGGGAGCCACTTTCTGGAGCAACTCCACTGCAATGTCTAGGATAAAATAGAAGAGCAGCAAAAGGGGTTAGTCTCATATAGCACAGTCCATCCCCACGTGCAGACCCCATCCTTCCCCTTTTCCCCACAAGCCCGTGGAGTCTTGGCTTTTACTCCGACAGCTCCTCAAGGATCATTTAAACTATGAAGGTAAGACAGGCCTTATCAGAAGTCTGGCACGAGGCAGGAGCAAACAAACAGGCCCAGAAGAGCCAGATCAAAAGCAGGCAGAGGATACGAGTGTCCAGAATACAGAAGCAGTGCCAGATCCAGATTAGCATGTCTGTGTCAGAGGGAGTCACCCACAGGCAGCTGCACAGACAGGCTGACACCCTCCCCTCACCCTGCAGGGCCTCAGACTGCCCCTTCTGGTTGCACTTTATGAGACTTTCCAGGACCTGATCAACACCCAGTGTTCCCGGTCCCTTGCTCCCTCCAGCCATCATCCTTCTCCAGGGCTGGTCAATGCTGGCTCAGCTTCCCTTCCCACCACAGCTCCAGTGCCCCCAAGATGAAGGGCAATGTCTTTACTCAAGCAGGAGTCCAAAAGGACTAACAGGACATGGAAGCAGCAAGATGCTGTAACTGCGCGCCCAGGTGTCTTTGTTTGTCAAGCCGTGGCTGTGTGAGAGCTCACTCCAGCCAGGACAGCTGGTTTAGGTGACTGAAGATCTCTCCTCTGCAGCTGTGTAGATACCAATTAATTATGACTGAAGCCTTCAACAGCAAATAGGCTCCCGAGAGGAGCTTGCTGCCAGTCCCAGTCACGCAGCCAGGACAGACAGTGTCCCCACTGCAAGCTGAGCATGGCATGGCAGGCTCTGCTGGCAGCGCTCACCCACAAGGTCCCCTCTGTATAGCAGGAGCATCACTAACACACGCTCTCACACATCCGCCCATCACATTTGCTGGGGAGGGACTCCACACGCAGCCTGTCCTTGCTGCAGCTCCGCACCTCAATCTGCTTGCTGCACTTTTGAGACATGCCTCAGCATCCAAGTGCTGAAAAAGCCAGAGACCAACAGATACCAGCAGATGGCTTGAGCAGATCCCCCTCTCACTTTGCAATGTGATAGGACCAGCTGGCAGTTATCCCAAACAGTGCTCCAGTCTGGTGCTTGGCAAGAAATGGTTTTGACAGGCAACTGAAGCTCCATTTTGCTGCTGAGTCCTTGGTTTACAGAACTGAGAACAGAGTTCATTCCAGCAGCCTCGTGCTTCCAGCTCCCAATAAGCACCAGTACGCAATCTCTCCATCTTTCCTTCCCACATCTTTCCAGCACCTAACAGAAAGGCTGCAGTCCCATAGGCACTCATGCATGCAAATAATTCCCACTAGCAATCACTATACTCAGAAACACATGGCTAGAAGAAACCTTCCCAGGTCACACCATTCCTGGGTGCGCCAGCCAAGCAGATCTAGCGCCCACCACCCCTGTCAGCAGCTCTGCTGCTCTTGCACTGCTGCTGCACCCCGTTGCACCTTTCCACCATGCTCAGCCACCCTTGCACCAAATAGGACACGCTTGTCTCTCCCCGCTACCACACCAGCACCACAGAGACAGCACCAGAGCCCTGAAGGACAGAAAGAACTCGAGTCTCCACAAGGCCTGCTCCATTTCTCCCCTCTCAGGAGCTGGCAGTCCAAACTGTTGCTGCAATTCTCCCATACAAGGGATTACGCGTCTCCCAGACAGGCTTTGCCACCTTTCTCAACTGGGAGGTTTCTCCTGGCATCAAACCTATTTTTCAGCTCACAAATCCAAAAACCATGACAACACGTCCTGCCATAAAGGACGGAGAGAGCAGCTGATCATTGCCCCATCTTGCAGCCACAACCTGCTGAGCGTCATCACCATTTTTCCTATCAAGACTGAACAAATCCATTTCTTTCAACCTCTTTCAACCAGGCCAGCATCACCTCCTGCCACTGCTCTCCAAGGTCTTTCAGGACCTTTTCTAGCTCTTGTGGTCCTCCTCCGGAATCTCCTCACAACCGTCTTGTTTAGAGAGCAGTGCCATCGACTCGCCACAAAGCAGCACAACAGCTGTGCTGAACCAGACCTCATAGCCCCAGGTGCCTCCTCTGATAAGGGCTGAGGAAGACTGCAAGAACAGATAAGCCTGCAGTGATATTCAACGCATGTCTTCCCTGTCCCCACTAACCGGTGCAGAGGCATTTCCTGGATCAGAGGCAGTCTTTATATTTAGTGGCCCTCGATAGACTCATCTCCCACGAATGTGCACTTTGAACTTTTAGTGTTGGCAGCATCTTATGAAATACTCACATCCTGCAGCCGAGCATGAAGTCAGCCCTGAAGACTCACCTCCCTTTTTTGCATTGTCTCCATCAGCACTGGGGATCCCCAGCGGCATCTGCTTGTCCCTCTGTTGTCCCCACATGCCCCATGCCTCCTTCTTCAGTGAGATACTTTACATTCAGCCTCTTGGTGATTTCAGACCACTTCCCCAGACTCATCAGAGGAGTTTTGAACGTGAACGCACTTCCCCATCCACTCAATACCCTCTGCAAACTGTACAAACATGCAGCTAATGGAAACACTAGTGAGACTCAGTGTGAAGGTCCTTTAGCAAATTGTTGCTTACTCTCAATAGCTTTGCTCTGTTATGCACCTGCGTCGCCTCCAGAGCCTTGACATCACAGAGCCCTTCCACTCCCCCAAGTGCCACTGGATCAACAGGAAAAAAGGGATGTGATCCAGACAAACACATGCTGGGCACTTCTTATCCCTTTGGCTTATAAACAAACAAATAAGTTTAATAGAGTTTAATAAATTCACCAGTATCTTGAACAGCACAACAAGTTGCCCAAGACAGCTCCCATCAGGGACTGAAACACAGCACTCATGCCAAGAGATCTGTAAGTAACCGAAAGGGCTCTGCACACCAGCAAGGCGCCAACAACGCACAATAGGCCAGGCAGAGCAATAAAACAGAGCGCAGGAGGCACGAGGCTCTGGCGCCCTGCCGACTATGCTGCACAGAGTGGGGAGGGCCGAGGGGGCAGGACAGGGGTGGGATTTGGCACTGGGGAGGAAGCGGGTGACTTGTTGGTCTCAGCCCCTGGGCTACTTCCAACCCCCTTGACTCAGCACTCTCCTCCGGGGAGGGTCGGCACCCACCTGTCACAGGGCTGGAGAGATTATCCAGGCTGCAATCTTTATCCCAGCCATAGTAGAGCCGCTTCCGCACCCTCTCGCTCAGCTGCTGGTG